CGATATGAAAGACACCAAAGGAATGAACTCTGGCTTTCAGAAGACAGACATCCTTAAGCGCACAACTGACGATGAACTGCGGGCACCAGAAGGACCGTTCGCTGATTATTTTTTCAAGGGATCCAGTATAATCGCAGCCCCTCTCCAGATTCCGTTCGAAGAGACACCGCATGTGAGCGGAAGACTAGAAATTAAGGGAGACTATGAGATGCCGGCCACCGAGGAAATGAACTTTGGCTTTCAGAGGGCTGACATCCATAAGCGCACAACTGATCATGAAGTGCGAGCACCAGAAAGACAATCCGCTGATTATGGTTTGAAAAAGTCCGGCATAACTGCCGTTCCTCTCCAGATTCCGCTTGAAGGGGCATCGCATATGGGCAGAATGGATGGACAGAATATAGGCTACGATATGAAAGACACCAAAGGAATGAACTCTGGCTTTCAGAAGACAGACATCCTTAAGCGCACAACTGACGATGAACTGCGGGCACCAGAAGGACCGTTCGCTGATTATTTTTTCAAGGGATCCAGTATAATCGCAGCCCCTCTCCAGATTCCGCTTGAAGGGGCACCACATGTGGGTAGCAGTGTTGTAGGTAAGGAAGACTATGAGATGCTCGCCACCGAGAAGATGAACTTTGTCTTTCGGAAGACCGACGCTCCTAAGCGCACAACTGATGATGCACTGCGGGTTTCAGAAAGACCGTCTATTGCGTATATTGTGGATGAGTCCAACCTCATCACCGCCCCTTCCGTGTATCCACTTGCTGCCGAAACATATTATGATATGGACATTCGTAATAACGCTAGGAAAGCCGGTGGTTTTCAAAAATGTCCTCAAGCTTATGCAGGTGTGTTTGGGGCCTCCCACTTAATACCCCCGAAGAATTATCGTGGTCCGGATAACACAGAAGTTTCTAACTCGATGCTCGTCTCTGGGAGACGCCACGTTGTGGACATGCGACGAGAATCAGGCGGATATTCCTACGATTTTGGATACGACAGTAAACCCTTATCATCTGACCTACGGGGATGTCCGCCCAAGTTGAAAAAGAAAACCACCGATTCGGAGAATTTGAAGAACAACTGGAACTTTCGCAGGACACACGCTCTAGGGCGACACACACAGGCGGAAAAATCGGGCTTTATTGACATGGAAAATTTTTAG